TCTTTTTCAACATTCCTCTGGCTATGCGGGGTCTTTTCTGGTTCCATACAAATTTTAGGATTATTTGTTCCATTTCTTTGAAAAAAGTGGATGGTATTTTGATGGGGAGGAAATTGCCTTTCTTAACAATAAAATTTGAATGCAAATATGTCACAGTTTATAGCACAATAGAATCAGGATCAAAGAAACTGGAAGAGCGAGGCAGAGTTTGCTTTTGAAAAAGCATTTCAGGGATTTTCCTCCTTGATTGTCTATGCAATAGGAACTATCCTGGTTTTTCTTTTCAGATTACACATTGAGTGCCAGGTGTCAGGAGGGGAGCGGGGTGCCAGAGCATCCCTTCTGGGCCATGCTGAACCCCGGGTTATGAAGTCCACTCCACTCCTGGAGACGGGTCCCCAAGGGACTGTGGGACACTCCCCTCTCTTCACAACTCGCAAATAAACATCACTTAGAAAAAACTTTGCCATCAGTACACCAGCGGGCAACAAAATGGATACTTCTTAAATATTCCAAGATCATACACCCTTTTCAGCAATCCCATTAGAACTAGGCTTTAATTTTTAACAACGCCCATTTGACTGGATAGAAATTACTTTTCTACAACTTTCCTTTAGCCAAAAATGTTATAAATTGTTTTTACTCTGTGCTTTATATACCATGTGGACCTGGTGTGTCAAAATTAAATTTCAAGAGAAATAAATGTATGGAAAGATCAGCTGAGTTGAGCCCTCATCCTGAAAACATTGCATACAAAAGATATGAGTAACTAGTGGTTAGTAAACAACCACACACATATTTTTCGGTATTTTAATTTCTCATTCTGATGACAGAAAACATTAGAGGCACACGACATAGAAAGTGAGCTTCTCCAGTAATTCCATTTCCAACGTCAAACCTCAGAGGCCGTGTGTGTCTGGCCCACCTGCTCGTAGAGAGTAGAGCAATGCCCGTGTGTGAACACACCCAGGAGCGTATGTAGAAGTAGAAATATTTGGGGCGCTTGGGTGGCTCAGTCAGTTAAGCATCCGACCCTTGATTTTGGCTCAGGTCGTGATCTCAGGGTTGTGAGATTGAGGCCCGAGTCGGGCTCCACTCTCAGTGTGGTGTCTACTTAAGATTCTCTTTCCTTCTCAAATAAAATAAATCTTAAAAAAAAAAAAAAAGAAATTTTTTAAAAGTTTATTTATTTATTTAGATTATTTATTTATTTTTTGACAGAGAGAGACACAGCGAGAGAGGGAACACAAAGCAGGGGGAGTGGCAGGCAGAGGGAGAAGCAGGCTTCCTGCTGAGCAGGGAGCCCGATGTGGGGCTTGAGCCCAGGACCCTGGGATCATGACCTGAGCCGAAGGCAGATGCCTAATGACTGCGCCACCCAGGCGCCCCCCAAAATAGAAATGTTTGCTTCCAGCAGACGGTTTGAAGTACTCCTGCCCAGGGGAGAAGGCAAGGGGCGGAGGGCCTTATGCTGGTGCTGGGGTAGCACACTGCGCCGTCTCTCAGCTAGGGCTGGCTGAGAGAGTGGGGAGCCTGGGGGTGGGGTGGCTCAAAGGAAACACTTCAGGGTGGCATTCCTCAGTCTGGGAATAAGGACAGGGAAGGGGAAGAGCTGGGAGGTAGCAAGCGATCGCCGAGGTGCCAAGAGGCCGCTGGAGAGGCAGCGGTGCAGAGGGAGGGTTGCATATACCTCGCCCTCAGTGACTGCGGGAGACTCCCCTGCACACCCTGCCACGGGGGGTGGGCAGGGAGCTGTGCATGGGTCAGAGCTCACAGATGGGCTCCTGCAGGGCGGAGGCAGCAGTGTCCCCCCCAGGCAGCACAGAGCAACTGCTTGGGACAAAGCTCTCTCCGAGATGTGGGAGCCAGCGGGGTCTGCCTCCCCTTCTGCGGTCCATGTGGTCCATGGGGGCGACGCTGGGCCAGACCTCGCCATGGTGGAGCGACGCTCCCAGGCCGACAACATGGGACAGGTGAGCTGAAACAGGGAACCCCACTCACTCAGGGCTGTCTTTCTGAAATGGGTTTCAGCTGAGACTTGAAATACACCCTCCCGGTGCTAACCCTCCAGGGAGTAACTTCCTCCGCCACACCACCGTCTGTCTGCACATCGCAATGCGGCCTATCCTGGCCAAGGCCTCCACCTGAGATCTTCTGTTTAGTTCTCTTTTGTTCAAGGCTGAGATGACCTCAACTCACAATTCCCGAAAGCACACCACTGTTGGCATCCCGGTTTGAGATTTTCTAGGCGAAATAGCCGGGGTGAGCCATTCCCGTCGGAGATCTGGGTACCGGCCCAATGGCAAGCCTCCCGTGGGTGCCCGGCATTCAAGAAGACTACCTCTTCCTCCTGCAAGTTTGCGCGGTGGGTTTAGTGAGTGAGGACAGGCTTCCTGTGGTTGGGGGAGGACATGCCATTTGTTTGGTGGAGAGTCGCCTCAGGACTGCAGGTAACCGGCTTCTGCCAGCCCCCGGCACCGCCTTCCGGCCTTCCAGAAGTGCCCACGGAAGTCGGGCCATTGCCAGTTTCATCTCTTTTACCTCCTGGCCACCCCCCCCCACCCCCCGGCCTTGGCAATGCTATCCCCCCACCCCCGGGGGAAGCTCATGTGGCCTCCAAAGACCCTGATACAATGCGCCCACTGCAATGGCTGATTTCAGAAAGGCCATGACATGTGTGTGGGGGGGTGAGGGGGTGCTACATCCGACAGGGAGAGCAGGGTATCAGAGGATCCCGGCTTTCATCGATGAGCGTGACTCAGTCTTACCCTCCAGCTCCACACTGGCTTGCGGCTGCACTCCCCTCTCCCTCCCCTCCCCCAATCCCTTCAGAACCGGCTCCCTTTGTTACTGGCTTTGTCACTATCGCTTCACCAGCAAAACCTGGAGCGGGCCAGAAGGTGCCCCTGCAAGAGTTACGTCCACGTCCTAACCCCTGGAACCTCGGAGTGCAAACAGATTTGGAAAAAGGGTGTTTGCCGATGTAATTAAGAATCTTGAGACTAGATCATCCTGGATTACAAGAGGAGCCCTAAATCCAAAGACAAGTGTCCTAGGAGCCACAGAAGAGACACGGACAGGATAGCGGGCCTTGAGAAGACACAGGCGGAGAATGGAGTTCCACGGCCACAAACCAAGGAGCCTCGGGAGCCCCAGGAGCTGGCCAAAGCAAAGGATTATCCCCCCCAGGGCCCGCAGAGGGAACTCGGCCCCGCTGGTACCATGATTTTGGACCTCTGGCCTCCAGAACCCTGAGAATTCCTATTGTTCTAAGCTGCTTGGCTGGTGCTAGGTGCTAGGTGCTAAGTGCTAGGTGCTAGGTGCAGCCGCGGGGAGCTCAGACAGCGCCCTCAACAGAGCCAGTGTCCCTGCCCAGTCCTACGCCTGCCCGCTCAGGAGCAGCACCAGGAGGCGACTGTCCCATCCTCAGGCACTGCCTTCCCGGCTCCTCGCTGCTGTTTTCCCACCTCACGGGACACTTTCACAATCTTCCAGGCTGAGTCCCTCGCTTCCCCCTACTGCTGAATGTTGGAGCCCCCAGCACGACCCTCACGAATCCCCTCGGTGAAATCATCCTGTCCCATGGCACTAAACACCACCTGCCCTCTCTGCTCCCGATTTCCTTCTGCAGGAACCTGGCGAGGCAGGGGCTCAGAAACTATTTGGAGGATGAGTAACATCTTTTCACATAAATCACCATTTTAAATGTGTTTACCATAGCGGGGCGCCTGGCTGGCTCTGTCAGTGGAGTGTGCGACTCTTGATCTTGGGGTTGTGAGCTCAAGCCCCACGGTGGGTGTAGAGATCACTTACAAAAATTAATATATGTGTTTATCATATTCATTTTGGAAGCACTCTCAGATGTACTCTCTTGTTCTTCTCATAAAAGCCCCGTGGCTTTTGAGTGACTGGGTGCTGGTCCTTTGGCTATTTTGTGGCAAAACCCAGGTTTCTGGATCTTTCAGGCCTCTCCTACCGCCCTCTGACAGGCTGGAGCACCGCCCTGAAGGTTCTGTTGCACTGATCGTGCTGTTCCGAGGTTTCTCTGCATTAGGAATCCTGTCTCGTGACTCCATCCTCTGATTATCAAGGCTTCTCAAGAGGCTTTCTCTCTGGAACAGGGGTTGGCAAAGTAGGATCTGCAGGCCAAACCCGGTAGGCTCTCTGTTTTCGTAAAGCAAATCGTACTGGAAGGCAGCCACACTCCTCGGCGTGCATAGTTCTGGCTGCTTCTGTGCTCCGACAGCAGGGCTGGGCTGATAGCCCACAGCCGAGCATTTTTACTCTCTGGCCCCTTTACAGAAACGGCTTGGAATTAGCCACAGGGAAGGCTTTCCCCTCCTTGCTGTGTTTGCACCCTCGGTCTCCTGCATCCATTCTGGGAGAAGGGAAGGGATGATCTTTTTCCGCTTTCCCACTAGTCAGACTCCAGGCTTGGAAATGGTATGAAACCTACTATGCTGATGACAATCTTGGTGATTGTTGGCCACCTTTCTGCCCTCCTCCCTCCCCATCAAGGCCTCTCCCCGAAGTGGAGTCTCTGACCATCAATAAGGTTGGGATTCCTCCTAAAGGCCTTCCCACATCTGCAACAAAGAAAAGCAGCCTCCTGAGAAAAGGCCTCTCCGCACTCCTTACCGACGCACATATACTCCCTCCCATCGTGAAGAAAAGGAGAAAGCGCCTCGTCGTCTTGGAAGGTTCTTCCACACTCATTATGTTCACGGAGTTTTTCGATTATGAAGTACCGATGAGCAGCCTGAGCGACTGACTCCTGGGGCTTTCTCTCCACCCTCAGCACTCAGGAGACTTCTTGCCCGGCGTGGGAAGCTGGGAGCTGCGCTAAAGGTTTTGCCACGCTGCTCACTGCCACGGGCCTTCCGTCTGCTGCGGTGCTCGGAGCCCGAGACACACAACTGCCCACACCTGCTGCGAGAGTGCGCTCTGGCGTGAGCACACCGACGCGCGGGCACGTGTCTGTTTCTCGGCGCTTCCTCGCGCTCCTTACCTCAATCAGACTGCTGGCGAGCGCAATTCCTGTGGGCCGCAGGAACGGGAGAGCGCAGACCTCTCTCAGCAGATTTTCCGCCAAGCAGGAGGTCGTGACTTCCCAGGGGACCTCTTCCCGCACTCGCCATACTTGAAGGATCTTTTCTTCTAAGACCTCTTGTGGTTTCTCGGGACTCAGGACATTCTACAAAATTAGATCTCTGGGGCCCAGCCTTTGGGAGTTCTCCCCACGCCTTCCCTGCAAACTGAGCGTCCTCAGAAATGCCCTGCTTCCCAGCCGCCTCTGCCTCCCTGCCTCCGCCCTCACCACCTGACAAATAAAAACCCGGCAGGACCTGATAGCCACTGTGCGCCAAAACCAACCTGAGAACAGAAGCACCGAAGGGAGAATGCTGGTGTGCAGCCCTCGTCCTCCCAAGCCATCGCGGTGAGGGAGCCCTCGTCCTCCCAAGCCATCGCGGTGAGGGAGGGAAGGGGGCTGGGACGGGGCTGAGAGCCACCGACAGGGAAGGCCGAGTGTGCTGGTAACACAGAGTGAGAGGGAGGAACGAAGGGCCGGGCAAAACATCTAGGGAATGAACAGCGCAGTCAGCTGACGTGTAGAGATGAAGTCAAGCCCCAGAAGGAAAGGGGTAAGAAAACAAAGCAGCAGGTAAAGGGGAACGGCTGCGGGCGAAGCTCCTCAGGGTCTTCACTGCACGCAGACGGCCCAGGCAGAGGCAGACGTCAGAGGCCGTCCTCCAGGTGCTCATGGCTAACCCAGGGGAGAGGAAATGCACACTGGGGTATTCCTGTAGAAGTTTCTATCCGATTTTCCCTGGTGGCCAAGAGACCAAGAGAAAATGAGGAATCATCTAAATCGGCGTTCTGCCCAAGGCACACGGGAAGGAGTTGCCACAGGAGGGGAGCTAAGGGACTCCCCTCACTCACCGGTGTGAGCGAAGCCCTCCATCCTCAAGTGGCCGGCAGATCTGGTACCCATCATGCTTCCCCTTGTTCCAGGAAGATGATCAGATTAGGCTGGGAAAAATAAAATTCTATTCATAGCACTGGGAACAGGAAAAGGGGAGATAATGGACCCAAAGCAGCCTTAGGCCTTCTGCCAACATGAAACAGACATGGCCGGGAAGCCAACAGGCGGGGCTGCTCTCTAAGGGGACGACCATCTTAGGCCGGAAGTAAAACTCCTGCGGTCAAGGTCTTCGATACAGACAGATCACCTGGGTGCTGGAGAGGGTAAACTCAGATCCCAGGAAATATGCCCATTTCCAGTGAGGGAAGTATCAGAACCCAACATTTATAGGAAGCAGAAATAGCCCACTCTTCATCAGGAGGGACCATGCAGCTTACAAGGATTCAGAAACTAAAACCAACTAACCTGAAAGCTTCAGACCATGCCAACAAATGGGTGGCAGCAATGACTTAGTCAGCAATGGATTAACTGAGACACACAGAGAGTTCTTACCCAGTCAGGTCACGTTCCCGAAATTCTCCATCACGTCTTAATGGAGATTCCTCTCGGAAGGGCCAGGCAACGCCAGTCCCTATGAGTGACATGTATGGCCAGGGCCTCACACATCTTCAAAGGTCACCCAATCCCGAAACACAGGATTTCTGCTGCCACCAGAATAATAATCCCCGAGGGATTTTTCAGCAGAGTAAAGGGGAGGCTCTGAGTCTCTGTCTATACCTGATGAGTAAGGACAGCTATGGAACAAGACAAGGGTCTTCCAGCAGGGAAAGGGATGGCTAGGGCTGCCGTGGTCAAGCAAATGCCACAGCAATGAAGGTGCAAGGGAAAACTGTATTTCCCTCCCCAACTCTCAACACTTTTGGTCACCAAATAGGTGTCTGTTTGGGGGTCTTCCTACACCAAACAGTTCTCTGACACCAGCTGGGTGTCCTGTAATTTTTTTTTTAAAGATTTTATTTTTTTAATCTTTTTAAAAAATTATTTATTTTATTTATTTTTTAAGTAATCTCTACACCCAACATGGGGCTTGAACTCACAATCCCAAGATCAAGAGTCACATGCTCCACTGACTGAGCCAGCCAGGCCCCCCAAGGGAGTCTCATGATTTAACTCACTTCTGACACTGTCTACGTGGAGAGAGCATCAGATCCCACAAGTTAAGGGCTCAGTTCCACTGGACTGTCCCCACTGTGGATGCCAATCACCAAGTCCAAGTTGTCACCTGCACTTCTGACTGACTGGCTCTAAATCAGGGGTTCCCATGACACCCTCCTCAGGTTCAATTAATTTGCTAGAGCCACTCTCAGAACTCAGGAAAACAGTTTACTTACTAGTGCCAGTTTATTACAAAGGTATTGAAAGATATGACTAAACAGCTAGATGCAGAGATCATAAGCAGAGCATAGGTGCTTCTGTCCCCAGTGGACTTAGGCTGTGCCACCTGCTGGCACAGATGTGTTTTTGTTCATCAACCCGGAAGAACTCGTCAAATCTCACTGCCCAGCAGGTCTTACTGGGCTTCATAACCAGTCTTCTTCCCTTCCTATAGGTTGGCAGGTGGAGCTGAAAATTGCAACCCTCCAATTATTGGTGGAGCTGAAAATTGCAACCCTCCAATTACTTGGTCTCTCTGGTGACCAGGCCCATTCTGAGGCTATCCAGGGACCCTACCTGCCCTAAGTCCCCTCGTCAGCAAAAACTCCTGTGTGCTTGGAAAGGGACTCCTTAAGAGTAACAAGAGACGATTCTATCACCCAGGAAATTCAAAGGGTTTTAGAAGCTCAGTGCCAGGAACCAGGGCCAAAGGCCAAATATATTTATTATACCACAGGAAGAAATGCAAACTTTAATTGATTATTAGGTGGCCAGGCAAGGTCTCGTGAAGCAGTGGAAGGAAGCAAAGCTTACCAGACCCAAGGGTTAGGGCTGCAGCCGCCATGACCACCATGACCGGGCCTCAGGACTTTCCTCTGCAGAGGGTCGGGGCTTCAGGGCCACGACCGGCAGAGGCTGGGGGAAAAGTTTCTGAGGACCAAAAAAAAAAAAGAGGCAGTCCTCTGCCTTGTACCCTGACCCATTCCCAATGCCCAGGGAGAGACCAGACACACAAGGCAGGAATATTTCCAGAAGGGGGAGTACGCACAGCCCTGTAGTTCTAACCCTGCATTCAAATCTGCTTCAGAAACCAGACTCTGAGGCAACAATGGACTGTAAGTACCCAGCATCCCTCCTGTGGAAGCCAAGTGAGCTTCACTTTAGAATTTAAAAATCTTCCCACATATACCCTAACCATCTCAACTTGGGCCACTAAATAAGTAAACGGCTAAAAGTGTAACAAATAATAAATCTCCACTGGTCAGGGAGATATGGCATGTCTCCGCAGTGAAATACCATGAGCTACAGAGAGAATAAAGTAGATTTATATGGAAAGACCTGGAGATGTTTCATGATGCAGTAAGGTGCTGTAAGGGGAAAACCAAAGTTCAGCTTGATCCTTTTAAAAAAACATATATACCTGGTGGGGGGTGGGAGGGATGGGGGGGCTGGGTGATGGACACTGGGGAGGGTATGTGCTATGGTGAGCGCTGTGAATTGTGTAAGACTGATGAGTCACAGACCTGTACCCCTGAAACAAATAATACATTATATGTTAAAAAAAAAAGAAGATAGTAGGAAGGGAAAAATGAAGGGGGGGGGAAATCAGAGGGGGAGACGAACCATGAGAGACTATGGACTCTGAGAAACAAATTGAGGGTTTTAGAGGGGAGGGGGTGGGGGGATGGGCTAGCCTGGTGATGGGTATTAAAGAGGGCACGTACTGAATGAGCACTGGGTGTTACACGCAAACAATGAATCATGGAACACTACATCAAAAACTAATGATGTAGGGCGCCTGGGTGGCTCAGCTGGTTAAGTGACTTCCTTCGGCTCAGGTCATGATCCTAGAGTCCTAGGACCACGTCCCACATCGGGCTCCCTGCTCAGCAGGGAGTCTGCTTCTCCCTCTGACCCTCCCCCCTCTCATGCTCTATCTCATTCCCTCTCTCAAATAAATAAATAAAATCTTTAAAAACAAAAAAACAAAACAAAACAAAAAAACTAATGATGTAATGTATGGTGATTAACATAATAAAATAAAATTTAAAAAAATAAAAAAATAAAAATCATATATACTTATATGAAATCTGGATGATTTTATTCTAAATCCTTGAAGGAAAGGATTAAGAGAGGTATCCATTCACTTTCCACATTCTTTTTTACACAAAGAACTTAATGAAAAACATTTTCTCTCGAATTTTTTTTATTATGCTCAGATATAAACATAAAATGTATTTACTTCTTGATTTTCTTAAACAATAGCAAAGACTTATTTCTTACTCATGTCATAGCCGGGCTGTGGCTGGCTACAGCTTTGCTCCATTGCACTCAGGCTGAAAGAACAAGCCCAACCAGCAACCACTCTTTTTTTTTAAAGATTTATTTATTTGAGAGAGAGACAGAGAGAGTCAGGGGAGGGGCAGAGGGAGACAGACTCTTCAAGCAGACTCCCCACTGAGCGCAGAGCCCACGCAGAGGGGGACACGGGGCTCCATCCCACAACCCTGAGATCATGACCTGAGCCGAAACCAAGAGCCAGAAGCTTAACCACCTGAGCCACGCAGGCACCCTGCAACCACTCTTTTTTTAAAAAAGTTGTGGTACAGGGGCACCTGGGTGGCTCAGTTGTTAAGCGTCTGCCTTCGGCTCAGGTCATGATCCTGGGGTCCTGGGATCGAGCCCTGCATCGGGCTCCCTGCTCCGCAGGAAGCCTGCTTCTCCCTCTCCCACTCCCCCTGCTTGTGTTCCCTCTCACTGTCTCTCTCTCTGTCAAAAAAATAAATAAAATCTTTAAAAATAAAAAAATAATAAAAAGTTGTGGTACAGGGCGCCTGGGTGGCTCAGTCGTTAAGCGTCTGCCTTCGGCTCAGGTCATGATCCCAGGGTCCTGGGATCGAGTCCCGCATCGGGCTCCCTGCTCTGCGGGAAGCCAGCTTCTCCCTCTCCCACTCCCCCCGCTTGTGTTCCTGCTCTCGCTGTGTCTCTCTCTGTCAAAAAAATAAATAAAATCTTAAAAAAAAAAAAAAAAAAAGTTGTGGTACAATGTATAGAACATAAAATTTATGTAGTAACTTTTAAGCATAAGCTCAATGGCATTAAGCACATTCCAGCTGCAGTGCAACCACCTCCAGAACTTCTCTCATCTGCCCAAACTGACACCCCATACCCATTAAGCACTAACTTCCCCCCAGCCCCTGGCAATCACCACTCCACTTTCCATCTCCATGAATTTGGCTCCTCGAGGTACCTCCTATAAGTGGAATCAAACTGTATTTGTCCTTTTGTGACTGCCTTACTGCACTAATACAATGTCTTTGAGGTTCATCCATGTCATAGCACGGGGCAGAATTTCCTTTGTTTCAGGGGCGCCTGGGTGGCTCAGTCGTTAAGCGTCTACCTTCGGCTCAGGTCATGGTCCCGGCGTCCTGGGATTGAGTCCTGCATCGGGCTCCCTGCTCAGTGGGGAGCCTGCTTCTCCCTCTCCCTCTGCCGCTCTCCCAGCTTGTGCTCTCTTGCATTCTCTCTCTCTCAAATAAATAAATAAAATCTTTTACAAAAGAATTTCCTTCGTTTGAAAGGCTGAGCAACATTCCATTGTACGATACCACGTTTTGTTTCTCCAGTCCCCCAGGGGTGGATACCTGGTTGCTTCCACCTTCTGTATTATCATTAACACTGCTATAGACATGGGTGTGCAAATAAATACCAGAGTCCCTGTTTCCAGTTCTTTTGGAAAAATATCAAGAAGCAGAACTGCTGGGTCATATGGTAATTCTATTTGAATTATTTTGAGGAACTGCCATACCATTTTTCACAGCGGCCGCACAAGGGTTGTGATTTCTCCATAGCCTCCCCAACACTTGTAGTTTGTTTTGCTCATAATAGTCATGGTAACGGGTGTGAAGTGGTATCTCACTATAGGTTTGATTTGCATTTCCCTGATGATTAGTGATGTTAAGCATCTTTTCCTGGAAATGTCTATTACTCAAGCCCTTGGCCCATTTTTTAATGTTGCTTGTTTTTAACTGTAGGAGTACTTTATTTGAGAGAGTGTGTGAGAGTGAGAGCACAAGGGGGTTGGTCGGAGGAGAGGCAAAGGGAGAGCGAGAAGTAGACTCCCTGCTGGGTAGGAAGCCCGATGCAGGGCTCGATCCCAGGATCCCGGGATCATGACCTGAGCCGAAGGCAGACACTTAACTGACTGGGCCACCCAGGCACCTCCCTTTTTTTTCTTATTTTTTTTTTGGTGGGCAGCCACCCAGGCACCCCTGATTGTAGGAGTACTTTATATATTTTTGATATCTTTCAATTTTTAAAGACTTTCCAAAAAACCTTTTGCATGGAAAACGCCTATAATTCAAGAATGTCTCAAAAATACTGTTTACAGTTGGATTGGGATTTTGGAGATTTTTTAGCTTTTTATTTTGAAATAATGACAGATCTCACAGGATCTTAGATACTTGCATCTGGAGTTAAAACAGCATCCCAGGCTGAATGTAAAGGTGAAGTAAATATGCAAAGCTAAGCAGGAGAGCTAGTCTCTTAGCTCATCTCTTCCCCTGACCCCCCACCAAAGTCCACTTATTTCACAAACCAGAATGGGAAAACTATAGTAGAGGAAATTTGCATCTGGGAAGAGTGACAAGGGCCATCACTTCATATATATTACAAAGTTATTCTGGTTTCACTGAGAACATGCCCAGAAAAAAATTTCTATAAAGGGTAGGCAGTGGAAATCATACTTTCTACCATAAATGAATTGTGACAATTAAGAGGACAGATTTTTCAAAAGCTTTTCCAATGTGATCTGAGCACTCAGTCAGAGGCTGCGAGTCACCTACCAACACCACTCTCCTTTCCTACTAACAGAAACACATTTGTTGTATCCAGGGTGACAAAGTGTCCAGCTAAAAAGGCCACATCTTCCAGCCTCTCCCACAGCCACGGATGGTTACATGATACAGTTCTGGCCAATGAAATGAAAGCCAGGAAGTCACTAGACAGGGCTTCCAGAAAATTCTTTCAAGTCCTCTTATTTAAAAAAGTGTGATAGGGGTGCCTGGGTGGCTCAGTCGGTTAAGCATCTGCCTTCGGCTCAGGTCATGATCTCAGGGTCCTGGGATCGAGTCCTACATTAGGCTCCCTGCTTGGCTGCGAGTCTGCTTCTCCTTCTTCCTCTGTGATCTCCCTCGCTCTCACGCCCTCTCAAATAAATAAATTTTAAAAATAAAAAGCGTGATACTTTGTTAGAAATGCAGAATCTTGGGCATTTAGTCCAAACTATGGAATTGGGATCTGCATTTTAACAAGACCCCCTGTTGGCTCACATATGCGTTTAAAGTTTTGAGAAGTGTTGCTTTAAGGAGCGTTTTTAGCTTCCTCTTTCTTCCTGCCTGGAATGAGAATGGGATTGCTGGGGCTTATATACAGTGGCCATCTTTTGACCACGATGTGACCTCAAAGAAGCCACATGCTAAAGAGGATAGTGAAAAAAAACGGAAGGAGCCTGGGGCACTGATGACATTATGGAGCCACCACACTGTCCGAAACTGCCCGCTCCACCAGACTTCTTGAACACAAGAGGACAGCCTCTACCGTGTGCAACTACTACTGAGAAGGAACCACTCCAGATGTACAGACTAGAAGAAGAATCAGAAAGCCCTCAGCAAGAAAAAGCACAGTCAACTGTTACTGGATCGTAAACTATACATAATCATTCCATTTTAAGTTAATATGGGTAGGCACATGTAAGTGTATAAAAATGTCCAGGGGTGACTGGGTGGCTCAGTCAGTTAAGCATCTGACCCTTGATCTCAGCTCAGGTCTCCATCTGAGGGTCATGAGTTCAAGCCCTGTGTTGGGCTCCGGAGCCTACAAATGTCCAGAAGATAGAAGTATATATATCAAACTGCTCATAGTGTAGATGGTGGAATTATGAGTAAATTTTCTTCTTTACAACTTCTTTTATTGACTGAATTTTTTACATTTTGCATGAATTTTATTTTATAGTAAGAGAAATGGTTTTTAAAAGATAGAAAATACATGTACCCTACACAGAAGTACACCTTAAGATAATTTAAAAAAAATATATTGAACAGGATAAAGAACTGCTAGGTTGCCTGGCTGGCTCAGTCAGAAAAGCATGTGGCTCTTGATCTTGAGGGTCGTGAGTTCGAGCCCCACGTTGTGGATAGATATTATTTAAATAACTAAAGAAACTTTTCAAAAAAAAAAAAAAAAAAAAAGAATTGCCCACTTCTGGGGGTAGGAGTGGGCCGACGAGAAAACAGGAAATAAAGTGAAAGCAACCTTGCTCGACTAATGATGACAAGGGGCCTCAAATGGCGTATAATATGCACACCCTTGACTCCTAAGGTCCAAAAAACTTGCAGCTCACATCACAGACATTTTTCACTAAACATCTATTCACCGGCTTGCGGAATTCCTTGGTCTTCAGATTCCACTAAATAACTTTTGGCTACATTTCAAAATAAAATGATCCTCAAGAGGCAAAGACTAGTCACACTTGAGGCCCACATACATGTAACCACTTCAAAGGCAGCTCAAAAAACACCTGAACCAGCACAGCAAACCTAAATGAAGTGGGGCCCTCCAGGAATCTTCCTTTAAGGGAAAATGTTCAAACACATACCGTTTAAGGAAACAATGTAGCATCCTGTTGTGTGCACTTCCTTCTCTCCCTTTCCTTCTTGCACCACTCTCCACACTCTGTATATAAGAACATTTCAAGAATTAAAACACACACACACACAATTGAAGCTGTCTTTTGAATACAGCTAAGTTAAAATGTGTATACAGCAACCCAAACTGGCAAAACTCACACTAAACTAAAACTGTACCAAGAGAGTGGCTCAGCAGATTCTAGCATATTGATGCCACCCAGTGAAATTCAATAATGCCCACACCCGACTTGCTTGCACATACATTCATGAGGGAAAGAATAATTTTATCTTTTTTGTTCATTGATGATCTCAAGCATCTAGAACAGGACCTGGCAAATAGGAGGTGTGTGGGGAAGATTTTTTTTAAATGACTGTATATAGCAATAAACAAAAGTCTTTGCTTGAAGCAAAAAGTTACCCACAGACACACATTAAATCAATTTGCAAATGTCTCCAAGAGAAAAGGATATTGAATAGGTTCCCACTAATCTCTGTTTTCATCTAAGTGTATAAAGCGAATACACAGGGGCGCCTGGGTGGCTCAGCTGGTGAAGCGTCTGCCTTCGGCTCAGGTCATGATCCCGGAGTCCTGGGATCGAGTCCTGCGTCGGGCTCCCTGCTCAGCGGGGAGTCTGCTTCTCCCTCTCCCTCTCCCTCTCCCCCCACTCTCGTGCTCTCTCTCAAATAAGTAAATAAAATCTTAAAAAAATAAAATAAAGCAAATACACCTTTTGTCAATCAACTACTTAGATGTTACAAACACATGGATTCTCTCCACACAAGGCAATGAGAGGTAAATTATGGGGGACAAAGATGACAAGGTAGTATGTATAGATGATGGACAGCCATGTAAAATGTTCAGGTGCCAGACCATGGAGATGAGATGGCAGGTACTTAGGACCCTAAGAGTGGCAGGAGAGACCAGATTAATCACCTGCAGAACCCACCCACCTCAGGCTAGTTCTGAAGGTGAGGATCAGAAGGCCCAGATGTGTGTGATTTGGGCTTTGTCTTTGATGTAACTTGGAAAGCTATGATATAGACAATCTTATTTAAACATCTTCAAATGTGTATTAACAGGCTACCACGTAGCTTGCTGATGCAGGTTATTAAGATCAATGCCCTTTTTTTGAATTCTATGATATAATTTGACTTTCTATATCCTTTTTATAGGGAAAAGATGTGTGCCCAACTTGCAGAAATAGTCTTGTTCCCTTGCCAGATATATTTCTCATTGTAAATTCACATGCTGGCTAATTATAACAGCTTGGAAGTTACATAAATGTCCAACAATAGAGAATCAGTTAAGAATAAAATTCATTATAGTGCACATGTATAAGACGATACAGCCATTAAAAAACATGATGTAAAAGTAGGTACTGCCACAGGAAAATGTCCACAAATACAGGGGATATAAAAAATCAGGTTATAAAACACATGTATCAAGTAGTCCCATCTATGTTTAAAAAACTACTCAAGAGGCAAAAACCTGGCAGAACCTTACTAAACATGGGGTTATGTCTCAGGGTACAAATAGAGATGACTTGTTTTATTCTGCAGTTTTGTGAATTTAGGTCTTATTTTTCTGTATTTTCCAAATTTTCTATACTGAACAAGAATTACTTCTATAATCAGAAAATAAGCAGCAATAATTTTATTTTTCAATTTTCATTCAGATGACCTTAGGCAAGTTAATCAATCTGTTTCTTTAACTGTAAATGGTAGAGGCAGAGAAACCTTTAGGTTACCAGGACATGTAAATGCTTAGAACAGGCCATGGCAAGTGGGAACTGCCCAGTAAAAGTTAGCTATTCGCTCCGAAATTCTTTCGGGTATGGTGGTAAGCACTTGAGGCGGGGCCTGTCTCACCTGTGGTGACCCTGCTTGTAAAGCCAGCCTGAGAAGCTGGTACGCTTCTCCATCTCTTTCCACTGTGAACAACAGCTAACAAAGGTAGAAAGGGAAATTTAGGGCTGAGTTCACAAATTCACAAGTCTTTAGGCACCACGGAAGAAATGGAAATGTGAGTGAAGTGGGGGTGGGGGTTGCTATGGCTCCCTGGACAGTGGGGACTTCCCAGAAGTACCTCAATTCACCTTATTTATTTATTTATTTATAGATTATTTATTTATTTGACAGAGAGAGACACAGTGAGAGAGGGAACACAAGCAGGGGGAGTGGGAGAGGGAGAAGCAGGCTTCCTGCTGAGCAGGGAGCCCGATGCGGAGCTCGATCCCAGGACCCTGGGATCATGACCTGAGCTGAAGGCAGATGCTTAACGGCTGAGCCACCCAGGCGCCCCTATTTATTTATTTTTAAAGATTTATTTTAGAGAGAGAGCTTGGGCAGGGGAGAGGAACAGAGGGAGAGGGAGTCTTTTTTTTTTTTTTTTTTTTAAGATTTTATTATTTGTCAGAGAGGAGAGAGCAAAAGTAGGGGGAGTGGCAGGCAGAGGGAGAAGCAGGCTCCCCGCTGAGCAGGGAGCCCATCGCAGGGCTCAATCCCAGGACCCTGGGGTCCTGACCTGAGCCAAAGGCAGCTGCTTAAGACTGAGCCACCCAGGTGTCCCATGAGAGAGAGTCTTAAGCAGACTCCGTGCTGAGCACCGAGCCCAATGCGGGGCTCGATCCCACAACCCACGAGATCACAACCTGAGCTGAAACCAAGAGTCGGGACGTTTAACCGACTGCACCACTGAGGCACCCAATTTTTTTTTTAAGATTTTATTTTATTATTTCTTTTTTGAGAGACAGAGAGAGAGAAAGAGCGCGAGCACACATGAGTGGGGGGAGGGGCAGAGGGAGAGAGAAAATCTCCATCAGGCTCCGTCCCACAACTCTGAGATCATGACCTGATCCGAAATCAAGAGTCGGATGTTTAACCGACTGCGCCACCCACACACCCCTACACGGTTTATTTTTAAGTAACCTCTACACCCAATTTGGGGCTCAGACTTACAACCCAGGATCAAGAGTTGTATGCTCTACCACCTGAGCCAGCCAGGCGCCCCAATTCAGCGTATTTGAAAAGCAGGCACTAGCCTAACAGCCCACATCTACCCTGCAGCTGCCTGACTTGTGCAGTCAAGTCTCCGCAGGAAAGAACAATTCAGAGTGATGGAACTTCACAGGTGGTTGACAGGCCACCCCCCGTCAATGCTTCCTTCTCTTCGGTGTGTTTACAACTGGGTCTCAAATAGCTGTCAGTGTCCCCTCGGGGAGGACGTTGTTATAGCACACAGCAACAGTTTCTCTCCTCCCACATCAGTGGCCCTATCAATGACAGAAACCGGCCGCATGACCGACCTGGGGTAAGAAAGGCAGTCCAGGGCTGCACAGCTGAGGGGCCCATGGGCAAGCTGGTCTGACTGGTTCCAGTCCGAACGACCGGGCCCGGAACTCAAAGGGCAGGAACCAATCCTGCAGCAAATGTGAGCTGTCCGAGAAGTCCAGGGACCATATGATTTATTGTCACAATGGGGGTACTTCTTACTTCTCATAGTGGAAAGGAATGCTATTAACAGTCCCACGGGGACATCGGGTCTTGACTGGAAATGCCTCAAACACACTGGGATATACGGCTACCCAATTAAAATCAACATGTTCCCTAAGGCCTCGGGTAAATTCCAGCTCTTCACCGACAACTACCTACTTACGTGGCAGGAAGAAACCACTCTTTTCAAACCACGGCGTATTAGTAAATAACCCAGGAGGCCTATCTCAAGGGCTTACTCCCCACAGAAATTGGGGATCTTCCTCTCCAGAATCCTTGGACTGAAAGCAGAGAGGCTCTACAGGGAGGATGAGGGCCCGGTTCCCAGAGCTGAGACAGGGAGAAGTATTGCAGAAGGAAAGGCAGACAGCAGTGGATCTCTCAGTCCCCGGTCCCTCCCTAGATCCCTGATTCCACATCAGCCTCAGGGAGGAGGGAGTAAGGGGGCTATTCTGTGTGGCGGGTCCCCCTGGACTCAGCGGGGTTAGGGGCTGTGCTACCAGTGAACCTCTGTCCCCCTTTCCTCACTGGACTCCAGGGGTTACAGGTCAGCAACTGGCTCAGGAGCCACCGGTGCAGTAATGACAGGAGGCCCAAGCCCATGGCCGTGGCGGACAACAGCTGGGACTGAAATTTGATGTGCACTCCACCTAACAAGTATCTTCCAAATTCTACAGATAGAAAACAGGCCTCCATTACATTCCCATGATCTATCTGATAATTATCCTATTCAGCCCTCTTCCTATGTTGTGAATTTTTAGCTTCCCAAATTTGCCTCTTTTCCCTCCTCCTATACTAATTAACAGAATTCCAATCTGGCTTTGAAACTACAGAACTCCCCAACTACTGGTGAAAAAAGATCAGGGGGAAAAAAATATTTCTCTGTTCTCCTAACAGCTGCAGAAAAGCAAGCACTATTCAAATGTCCCAAAAGTGTTCTTGCTAAGGTTATTATTTTTTTAAAGATTTTATTTATTTGAGAGAGTGCAAGCATGCTCCAGCGGGGGGGGGGGGGGGGCAGAGGGAAAACCAGACCCCCCACTGAGCAGGGAGCCAAGGTTGGTGGGGGGAGTTGGTGGTGCTTGATCCCAGGACCCTGAGATCATGACCTGAGCCAAAGGCAGACACTTAACCAACTGAGCCACCCAGGCACCCCTTATCAAGGTTAGTTTTAAGGAGTCTTTCAAGACTCCTGGACTTCAGACATTGTTAATATATCCTGGGAAAGTGATTTTTATTTAAAGACTTTAAAGTCTGTAATTCTGATAGCTTACTTGATAATTTGTAGTTCTGGGGATGCCTGGGTGGTGCAGTTGGTTGAGCATCCCAACTCTTGATTTTGGTTCAGGTCATCATCTCAGGATCGTGAGATCGAGCCCTGAGACCAGCTCTGTGCTCAGCTCAGAGTCTGCTTGAGATTCTCTCTCCCTCTGCCCCTCCCCCCACTCGTATGCACTCACTCTAAATAAATAAAACCTTTAAAATAGTAATAATAATTTGTAGTCCTGGTAGCACTATTTAAATAGATACGCTAGTTTTTTTGGAAGGTGTGATTTTTCATTCTTAAACCAGGAGAGGATCATTATCAGCAACCTCGTCTACTGATTAGAGCATAGAGATAAAAATGAATAAAAACACCGGCTTTATTGGATTTTGTTTTTAAACAGAATTTGACAATCAAATGTTTAACTTTATCAGCAATAAAGCTCCAACTGTTTCAATGTCTGGTGGCTGAAGTTATTCTTTTTGCCTTTAGCAAATCTATAAGAGGACTGAGCCAAGCTGTCTGGATCATAGGGAGTGCATCAATCCTGCACTGGGGCCAGTGCCCAACCCCCAGCAACCAGGAGAGAACAGGAATGAGCTCTTGGCCCTTCGAGTAACCAGGGAAGGTCTTCACCTTAGGCAAACCTGTAATCATGGCCTGTTGGGTCAAGATAACTTTCCAGTCCTCTTCCTGTTCCCCAGGATGAGAAGTCCTGTTGATTTCACGAAGGGGACAGAGTTGAGGAAGGCGGGCTGGAGGTCCCATTGCCATCACCCAGAGACACCTTTTCTCAGTCCAATGTCAGAAGAGGGGACACTGGATTCAGACTGGTGTTTATTTGAACAAGAGGGTTCTGAGAATTTGAGGCGGTCCAGATCCAAAGACCCATTCTCTACTCTGCCTCCATTTCCAAAGAAAAATGAAAATGCAGATTCTAAATAGAACACACAAAAACTGGAAGTGCTAGGGGCACCTGGCTGGCTCAGTCAATAGAGCATGTGACTCTTGATCTTGGGGTCATGAGTTTGAGCCCCATGTTAGGCACAGAGATCACTTTAAAAATAAAAATTAATTAATTAATTAATAACAGGAGGGAAAAAAACCCTGTAAATGCTACTACATTCTGCTCACTTAAAAATCCTAAGTCCATTGGGAATCGAGGAGGGTGGGAAGAAATCCATCTTCACGGTAACTCTGAACCACAGTTCAGACCTGAGAGAAAAGGCTTGGATAGTCATTGATAATAGTAAAAGAAACCAAAAATAAATAAATAAAATAAAATAAACCAGGAAGAGAAAACTAACTAGAATGAACCTATATTCTAAACAAAAGAATTCACAAGCCTTTAGAATTTCTACAGTAATAGGTACCAGTTGAAGGCAGAGCAGGACAGGGGTCTCAAAGGCCTTCCTGCACTCACCTGGCTAGGGTTCTTTGTCCAGCCCAGATGCACAAGGCTTCCCCACTTTCCAAGTGGCTTATCACTTCAGTTTTATAGACTGAAAATCCTATTCGTGGGCAAGAAAAAGGATAAGCATGTTAAGGAATCAGGGTATGAGGGCAACTCTCTGCTGATTAGCCCCCTAATTTCATGGCTCCAGACAGGCTAACTGACCTCATTCCTGCCCCTTGGATCCTAACCACTGGCTCTAGATATTCCATTTACTTCCTTCTTTCCTCTTTTCCCATGACCAATGTAGACTTCCCAGCTTCCCACTATCTTGCTGTCCACTCTAACCTAAAAAAAGCTCAGATAAAGGTTTTTCTGCCAATCACCACAGAATTACAGAAAATGGGTAGAAAGCCTGGTCTGTGTTTCTGGTTTTCCAAGTACCCTGGGAAACTCTTTTCTACCACCCTTTTGTAATCAAGGGTGGATTTCAACTCCATCCCATTTGTACATACTTTCTCCAACACTTACACTGCAGGACTCCTTTTCTAACTACAAAATAGGGGGTAGGGGGGCTAGCAAACTCCAGATGGGAATCTTCTACCTTAATGTCCCTCCAAATTTAATTTAATTAAAACATTCTGATACAGGATTATAGTGACAAAAAGAACTAAAGACTCATTTCCTAAATTTGGAGGAAGTTGGAGAAATATGCTATGAGGGGCAGAATATACTCTAAGGCCTGGATGGGCCTGGTGGCAAATCTTTTTTGTGTGTCTGGGATGAAAAGAAGACTGGCAGTGGGCAGCCACCCTAAAAGCTACCAGTCAGTCCCAGGCCCAGGATCCTGCTGTGGGGAGTGCTTACACAGAACTCTAGCTATGAGAAAGGCAAGAATTGAGAATGTTTACAAAACTGCCCACTTTTAACAACTCTTGATCTTGGGGTTGTGAGTTTGAACCCACTGGAGGTAGAGTTTATTTAGGAAAAAGAGAAAGAAGTATCTTGCCTCAGGGCCCAGCAGCACTTCAAGGCTGTCAAAATACTGGGAATTAGGACTTGTACAGCTCCATCCAGCAGCACTTGCACCAAAAGAGGGCTTGCCATACCAATAAGGGACATTTCAAGCCAAGGGACATGCAAATTCCAAGCCTTTCCCCTGGCATAAAAATAAATATAGGGGCGCCTGCGTGGCTCAGTCGGTTAAGCATCCGACTCTGGATTAGGCTCAGGCCATGATCTCAGGGCTCAGATGGAGACCCACATGGGGCTCCGGCTCAGCGGGAGTCGGCTTGGATATTCTCTCCCTCTACCCCTTCCCCCACTCGTGCTCGCTCTCTCTCAAATAAATAAATCTTTAAGATAAGTAAGTAGATAAATAATACAAGGAAGAAATGGACATTGAAATAAAAACCAAAACCAGAAGAAGGCTGAGCTCTGCTATTCGGAAAGTCTGTTAGTGAGAAACTGCACCTAAGCCTTCCAGTCGGAGCGACTGTGGGTCACAGACGAGTTCTTACTCAGTGCCATGGCGTTTCCGTAATTCTTTAATGTCACGTCCGTGTAAAGAGCCTTCTCAGGACACTCCAGGCGAGTCCACTCCGTTTCTGAAGCCCACGTCCACATCATCGAAGGTCACCGGCCCCGGCAACAGGAGGTTTGTCCACTATGACCCGGGGTCGTCCCAGAACCTGCTCCTCGGGGGAGAAGTGGCGCTGGGAACTTGAGGAGTGGGGGATGGGCGCGCCTGAGAAGAGACGGTCGGGGGACACCGAGGGTGGCACGGCCCCGACCACCCGGGCACGAGGACAGACACTGCTGGCGTCGACCCTCGCCGGGGGACTCGGGACCCGCACCCACTCCCCTCGGGCGCGGGCGGCACCGCTAGGTGAGGTAAACGGGAGAACAGAGGGCAACACGCGGACGCCCGCCCTCAGCGACACACTACCGCCGACCCTCACAGAACCCGTTAAACTGCATCGGGGGTCAACGCGCAGGGGCCTCGGGCCCCGCCCCCAGCCGACTTCCGCGTCCTCTCTAGGCTGCGCGGAGGACCTTGCGTCTCGGCGGGCCGCGCCACAGGGCGCCTGGATAGCGCGGCTGGTCCCGGCTGGGACCGCAAACGTGGCGTCGGGGGCCGCGGGGTAAGGTCTGGGCGATCCTGCGAGGCTTGGCCCCTCACTCCTCACGTTTTACGCCAATCATCTTTAAAACTACTTTTCCCCCATTCTATTTCCCATTGGACAACTAAAGGAAAAAAAAAAAAAGCTAATGGTACTCCAAATATACGGAAATTTTATTTTTTAATTTTTTTAATTTTTAATTTTTTTAATTTGAAGATTCATTACAAGATTATTACAAGTACAATAATCAATACAATGTGATATCATAATAAAGGTAGACACATAAATGGAACTAAGTAGACTCAAAGAATAGCAATAAACACATAAGATATTTGATCATCACGTTGATACAACAGATATATGCAAATTAAAACCAGAATTAGGTACTATCATATACCTACTAGAATGACTGAAATTTTAAAATAGTAATGATATCAAGTAAGGTGAGAATATGGAGAATCTGGGAATCTCGTTTTTACTGATGACAGTGTAAAATGGTGTAACCACTTTGATTTTTTTGTTTGTAGTTTCTTTTGGTTTTGTTTTATTTTTACTGTTAATATTTTAGAGAATTTTACTCTGATAATTTTCTACATATAGTTTGATATTTTTGTGTTTTTGTCATCTCCAATTTTCCCACTTGATTTTGTAATATAAGTGTTCCCTCGCCCCATACGTGACCCCATTATAATATTCCGTTACCTGGATTATCATCATGTATTTATTCATTCTGTATCAAATCACCCAGTCTGAGCCCAGGAAATCAGCCTTCCACTAGTAGCACCACCAAATTGGGTCTCATCCTGTCCTCAGGGAAGTGCTGTGAAGCTCGTCACTGTTTTCTCTCTGAGGAGGACAGTACTTTTTTTACACAGCCCCTCTCTATAATTGCTCAAAGGGAGACATTTTTATGGTCTTGCTATCAAGAAAAGTTTAATAGAGCAACTGGTTAGTTTTGGCCTATGGACCCAGGGAGTTGGCTATTAGAAAGCTAACAGAAATTAAGGCGTCGATCCCATTTACAATTGCACCCAAAGCCATAAGTTATCTAGGAATAAACCTAACCAAAGAGGCAAAGGATCCGTACTCAGAAAACTATAGAACACTCATGAAAGAAATTGAGGAAGACACAAAGAAATGGAAAAATGTTCCATGCTCATGGATTGAAAGAACAAATATTGTTAAAATATCTATGCTACCTAGAGCAATCTATACATTCAATACAATCCCTATCAAAATAACCAACTTTTTTCACAGAGATGGAACAAATAATCCTAAAATTTGTATGGAACTGGAAAAGACCCCGAATAGCCAAAGGAATGTTGAAAAAGAAAACCAAAGCTGGTGACATCACAATCCCAGACTTCAAGCTCTATTATAAAGGTGTAATCATCAAGACAGTATGGTACTGGCACAAAAACAGACACATAGATCAGTGGAACAGAATAGAGAGTCCAGAAATGGACCCTCAACTCTATGGTCAACTAATCTTCAACAAAGCAGGAAAGAATACCCAATGGAAAGAAGACAATCTCTTCAACAAATGGTGTCGGGAAAATTGGACAGCCACATACAGAAGAATGAAACTGGACCATTTCTGGGGCGCCTGGGTGGCTCAATCGGTTAAGCGGCTGCCTTCGGCTCAGGTCATGATCCTGGGGTCCTGGGATCGAGTCCCACGTCCGGCTCCCTGCTCAGTGGAGAGCCTGCTTCTCCCTCTCCCTCTCCTGCCACTCTGCCTACTTGTGCTCTCTCTCTCTGTCTCTCTGTCAATTAAATAAATAAAATAAAATAAAAAAGAAACTGGACCATTTCCTTATACCATACACAAAAATAGACTCAAAATGGATGAAAGACCTCAATGTGAGACAGAAATCCATCAAAATCCTTGAGGAGAACACAGGCAGCTACCTCTGTGACCTCGGCCACAGCAACTTCTTGCTAGACACGTCTCCAAAGGCAGGGGAAACAAAGGCAAAAATGAACTATTGGGATTTCATCATGATAAAAAGCTTTTGCAGAGCAAAAGAAACAGTCAACCAAATCAAAAAGCAACGGACATAATGGGAGAAGATATTTGCAAATGATATATCAGATAAAGGGCTAGTATCCAAGATCCATAAAGAACTTACCAAACTCAACACCCAAAAAACAAATAATCCAGTCAAGAAATGGGGAGAAGACATGAACAGATATTTCTCCAAAGAAGATATACAAATGGCCAACAGACACATGAAAAAATGCTCAGCATTACTCGGCATCAGGGAAAAACAAATCAAAACCACAATGCGATACCACCTCACACCAATCAGAGTGGTTACAATTAACAAGTCAAGAAATGACAGATGTTGGCGAGGATGCAGAGAAAGGGGAACCCTCTTACACTGTTGGTGGGAATGGAAACTGGTGCAGCCTCTCTGGAAAACAGTATGGAGGTTACTCAAAAGGTTGAAAATAGAGCTACCCTCCACCCAGCAATTGCACTACTGGGTATTTACCCCAAAGATACAAATATAGTGATCCAAAGGGGCACCTGCACCCCAATGTTTATAACAGCAATGTCCACAATAGCCAAACTATGGAAAGAGCCCAGATGTCCATCAACAGATGAATGGATAAAGAAGACGTGAGATAGATAGATAGATAGATAGATAGATAGATAGATAGATAGACAGACAGACAGACAGAGAGACAGACAATGGAATTCTACTCAGCCATAAAAAAATGAAATCTCCATTTGCAACGATGTGGATGGAATAGAGAGTGTTAGGCTTCTTGAAATAAGCCAATCATTGGGCGCCTGGGTGGCTCAGATGGTTAAGCGTCTGCCTTCGGCTCAGGTCATGATCCCAGGGTCCTGGGATCTAGTCCCGCATCGGGCTCCCTGCTCAGTGGTAAGCCTGCTTCTCCCTCTGCCTCTCTCTCTCTCTCTGTCTCTCATGAATAAATACATAAAATCTTTAAAAAAAAAAAAGAAGCCAATCATTGAAAGACAATTATCATATGATCTCACTGATATGTGGAATTTAAGAAACAAAACAGAGGATCATAGGGGAAGAGAGGAAAATAAATAAAACAAGATGAAATCAGAGAGAGAGACAAGCCATAAGAGACTCTTAAGCATAGGAAACAAACTGAGGGCTGCTGAAGGGGAGAGGGGTGGGGGGGATGGTGTAACTGGGTGATGGACATTAAGAAGGGCATGTGATGTAATGAGCACTGGGTATCATGTAAGACTGATGAATCACTGACCTCTTCCTCTGAAACCAATAATACATTATATGTTAATTTAATTTAAATAAAAATTTAAAAAGAAAAAAAGAAAGCAGGCTAACAGCAAATCTTACCTAAGGGCTAAGGGGACCAGTAAGTGCAAGGGTAACTTTTTACCCAAATCTGTTTGTTCTCAGAATTCAGCCTGCTGCCATGTTTCTATAGATAACATTCTTGCCTGGCACAACAATATGAAAATGCTGGTTTAGTTGTTTTGCAGAGACTCGGGTTTCAGTAGAAACCAGACAGAACAAGTTAGGACCTCAACCTTCTCTTGGAGCATGTGCCACTGTCTGGTGGATGAATATTTGATACAGAAGAGCCTAAAACCCCACCCTGGAATCACACCAAGGGGGCCATTTTCTGATCATGGGTCATATGAAGAGGCATGCAGATCTGTGAAGATGCAGAAAATGAGATCACGTCAACCCTTCCCTTACTTATTATCTCCCTTTATCTGATTTTGAAATCATGTAGCTCCTCTTCCCATACCCAGATCCTTTTTCATTTACCTTTAAATATCCCTGACTCTCCCCCTTTGAGGAGAGGAATTTGAGGCTTGCCTTCCCTTCTCCTTTGGCTACCTTTTTTTTTTTTCCTTCTTTTCTTTCAAATAAACTCTATGCCCAACTTGGGGCCCGAACTCACGACCCCAAGATCAAGAGTCACAATCTCCACCGACTGAGCCAGGCAGTCTCCCCTCCTTTGGCTACCTCTTGAATAAACCCTTTTCTTCCTGCATACTTGATGTCTCAGTGATTGGCTCTGCTGCACATTGGTCATATGAATCTGGATTTGGTCACAAATTTGGTGAGCCAGCCAGGAGCTCTTTGACCTTGGTTAGATAGCCCCAGCCATTAAAGGGAGTCCTGTGACGAATCCAAGCAGCTGCCTAGGCTCTTCATTCTAGGGATTTTCCCTTGGGCCCCCACCCCAATTTGGTTCCACTGACCTTCAGGCGGTTAATTTAACTCTTGTGGCAAGGAAACAGCTTTTGGCTTCCGTATGGACAGACATCTCTTTGGTGAGTAACCTCAGTACAAGTGACCAAATGCCTCTTTCTCCCTCCTGTTTGGTTCCCTCCAAATAGGGGGTTTGGCTTTGGCTCTCTTAGCCTTCTTTTTCTTGCTTAAGAAAAGTTTGACTAGGAAGCTGTTTATTCAGTTGATAAAGCCCTGACTTTTAGAGTGGAACTAGAGAATCTTTGTTCACAGAGGTACTCTTGGCTTCATTTGGTTCATTTGTTGCTGTAGCTTGTGGTATCTTTGAATAAAACTGGCTGTGTTCTAATTGGAAAATAGGAAATGAAAATTTGATCCCTGCATGCAGCCCTTTGGGCTATATTCTCAAAAATTGGACAATGTTTACTTATGAACCTATGAAAAGGAAAAAGGTGATCTTCTTTTGCAACACTACTTGGCCACAATACTCATTAGACTCTGGGGAAAAATAGCCAATTAATGGATCCTTAAAATATAATACCATCTTGCAATTAGATTTGCTTTGTAAAAGGGAAGGTAAATGGGATGAAATACCTTATGTTCAGTCTTTTTTTTTTTTTTTTTTTGCTTTTGTATCAAAATATGCCAGGTCAGAAAAGATGTAAAATTCTACAACAAACCAGTAACACTAAAAAGCCTGTGTTGCCTGATTCTCACCAGGGAGAGGAGGAGGATTTATTGATTACGTGGATTTAACTCCCCTACAGCTCTTCCACTCTATGGGAGCACCAGAGCTACTGCCTGTACTCAGCAGCCCCAGTCCCAACAACCTGAGCCCCCACAGAGCCCAAACCAGGACCCTCAGCTTCAGGGGGCCAACAGGTAAGAATGATCTCCCCTTCTTATCCCTAACTCAATTAGGTCAAGGAGCCACTTGTGCCCAGGGAGGACAATATCTGCTGAGGCAAGTCCCAAATCTGAGGCTTAGATGGAGGGGAAGGGGTATAACCTGTAGGAATGATTTGAGTCCACTCTCCACCCTCCACTTTGAATTTGTTTAACTGGAAAAACAAGATGCCTACTTACAGAGATGACCCCAAGAGGATGGAAAATTCGTTCCCATCTATTTTTGCCACCCACAACCCCACTTGGACAGATGTACAAAATTTGTTAAATATTCTCCTCAGGAGTGAGGAATGCCACATGATGCTAGAAAAGGCTAGGGAAGAAGTTACCTGGCTGCACGCTAAAACCCCCAATAACTCCCTAAGAGCAAATCCATGATGCCCATTCCTACTATGAATCCCAACTGGAACATCAGTATTGGAGACTGAGGTAAGCTTGAACACTATCGGGGTGGGATTTTAGCTGGATTAAGAAAGGGGGTCCCCACACTGTGTAAAAGTGTTTCATTTTGGTGTAGTACCAATAGTTTAATTTTACTTTTGTTTCGCTTGCCTGAGGAAAACATATCTAGAAAAATGTTTCTGTGGCCAATGTCAAAGAAATTACTGCCTATGTTTTCTTCATGTTTTATGGTTTCGGGTCTCACATTTAGGTCTTTAACCCATTTTGATTTGTTTTCGTGTACAGTATAAGAAATTGGGAGTCCCTGGCTGGCTCAATTGGTGGAGCATGTGACTCTTGATCTCAGGGTTGTGAATTCGAGCCCCACACTGGGTGTAAAGATTACTTAAAAATAATTTTTTTTTTTTAAGAAGAAAGTGGTGCAGTTTCATTCTTTTGCATGTAGCTATCCAGTTTTCCTAACACCATTTGTTGAAGAGACTGTCTTTTTCCCATTGTATATTCTTGCCTCCATTGTCATAGATTAATTGACCATATAACCATGGGCTTATTTCTGGACTCTCTGTTCTGTTCCATTGATCTTTGTGTCTATTTTTGTGCCAATACCATAATGTTTGATTACTACAGTTTTGGAGTACAGCTTGGGATCTGGGATTGTGATACATCAGCTTTGTTTTTCTTTTTCAAGATTGCTTTGGCTAGGGACACCTGGGTGGCTCAGTTGGTTGAGCATCTGCCTTCAGCTCGGGTAACAATCCCAGGGTCATGGAATCGAGCCCCACATAAGGCTCCCTGCTCAGTAGGGAGTCTGCTTCTCCCTCTACCCCGCCCCCGCCCCGTTAGTGATCTCTCTCTCAAATAAATAAATAAAATCTTTTAAAAAAAAAGATTGCTTTGGCTATTCATAGTCTTTTGTGGTTTCATACAAATTTTAGGATTATTTGTTCTAGTTCTGTGAAATATGTTGTTGGTATTTTGATAGGAGCTGCATTAAATCTGCAGATTGTTTTGAGTAGTATGGACATTTCAACAATATTTGTTCTTCCTAATCCATGAACATGGTATAGCTTTCCATTTATTTGTGTTTTATAGTTTTCAGAGTACAGGTCTTTCACCTCCTTGGTTAAGTTTATTCTTAGGTATTTTGTTCTTTTTGATGCAATTGTTAATGGGATTGTTTTCTTAATTTCTCTTTTTGCTACTTCATTATTAGTGTATAGAAATGCAACAGATTTCTGGTATTAATTTTGTATCCTGTGACTTTACTGAATTCAATTATCAGTTCTAGTAGTTTTTTGGTGGAGTCTTTAAGGTTTTCTATATATGGTATCATGTCATCTGCAAATAGTGAAAGTTTTACTTCTTCCTTACCAATTTGGATGCCTTTTATTTCTTTATCTTGTGTGATTGTTGTGGCTAGGACTTCTAATACTATGTTGAGTAAAAGTAGTGAGAGTGGACTGCCTTGTCTTATTCCTGACCTTAGAAGGAAAAGCTCTCAGTTTTTCACCCCTGAGTATGATGTTAGCTGTGAATTTTTCATATATGGCCTTTATTATGTTGAGGTATGTTACCTCTAAACCTACTTTGTTGAGAATATTTATCATGAATGGGTGTTTTACTTTGTTCAGTGCTTTTTCTGCATCTATTGAGATGATCAGATGGTTTTTATCCTTTCTCTTGTTAATGTGGTGCATCACGTCGATTGATTTGTGAGTATTAAACTACTCTTGCATCCTTGGAATAAATCCCACTTAATCGTGGTAAGTGGGGGCACCTGGGTGGCTCTGTGATCAAGCGTCTGCCTTCGGCTTGGGTCATGATCCCAGGGTCCTGGGATCGAGCCCCGCATTGGGTTCCCTGCTCTGTGAGAAGCCTGCTTCTCCCTCTCCCACTCCCCCTGCTGTGTTCCCTCTCTGGCTGTGTCTCTCTCTGTCAAATAAATAAATAAAATCTTTTTTAAAAAAAATCATGGTGAATGATTTTTTAATGTATTTTTGGATTTAGTTTGCTAATATTTTGTTGAGGAATTTCATATCTATGTTCATCAGAGATATTGGCCTATAGCTAGCTTCCTTCCTTCTTTCCTTTTCTTTTTCTTTCTTTCTTTCTTTCTTTTTTTCTTTCTTTCTTTCTTTCTTTCTTTCTTTCTTTCTTTCTTTCTTTCTTTCTTTCTTTCTTTCTGTGTCTTTGTCTGGCTTTGGTATCAGGATAATTCTGGCCTTGTAGAATGAATTTAAAAATTAAACTATTGGGACTACACCAAAATAAAAAGCTTTTGCACAGTGAAGGAAATCATTAACAAAACAAAAAAGTTACCTTCTGAATGGGAGAGATATTTGCAAATGATATATCTGATAAACGGTTAATATAGAAAACATATAACTTATGCAACTCTACAAAATAGAATTGATACAACTCTACACACACACAGACACACACACAATTTGATTATAAACAGGCAGAAGACCTGAATAGACATTTTTCAAAAGAAGACATACAGATGGCCAACAGACACATGAAAAGATGCCCAACATCACTAATCATCAGGGAAATGCAAATCAAAACCACAATGAGATATCATTTTACACCTGTCAGAATGGCTAAAGTAAAAAACACAAAAAGTAACAATTGTTGGTGAGGATGTGGAGAAAGAGGAACCCTGTGCACCGTTGATAGGAATGCAAATCAGTGCAGCCACTGTGGAAAACAGTATGGATGTTCCTCAAAAAATTAAAAATAGAATTACCATATGATCCTGTAATTCCACTACTGGGTATTTATCCAAAGAAAATGAAAACACTAATTCAAAAACGTATATGCACTTCTCTGTTTATTGCAGCATTTACAATAACCAAGATATGAAAGCAAGCCCAGTGTCCATCAACAGATGAAAAGATAGAGAAGATATGGGAGCACTTGTGTGGTGCAGTCGATTAAGCATCTGACTCTTGGTTTTGGCTCAGGTCATGATCTCAGGGTTGTGGTACTGAACCCTGCATCAGGCTCTGCCCTCAGCACAGAGTCTGCTTGAGATTCTCTCTTCCTCTTCCTCTGCCCATCCCATGCGTGCTCTTTCTCTTTCTCATAAATAAATAAATCTTTTTTGGACGCCTGGGTGGCTCAGTTGGTTAAGCGACTGCCTTCGGCTCAGGTCATGATCCTGGAGTCCCAGGATCGAGTCCCACATTGGGCTCCCTGCTCAGCAGGGAGTCTGCTTCTCCCTCTGACCCTCCCCCCTCTCATGTTCTCTTTCTCTCACATAAATAAATAAATAAATAAATAAATAAATAAATAAATAAATAAACTTTTTAAAAGGAAAGAAGATATGGTATATTTATACAATGGAATATTACTCAGCCATAAAAAGAATGACATCTTGCCATTTGCAACAACATAGATAGACCTAGAGGGTATGACGCTAAGTGAAATAAGTAAATTTGTCAGAGAAGGACAAATACCATTTGATTTCACTCGTATGTGGAATTTAAGAAACAAACAAAGAAAAAAGAGACAAACAAAAAACAGACTCTTAAATACAGAGAAAAAATTGGTGGTTGCCAGAGGGGAGGTGGGTGGGAGCATTGGTGAAATAGATGAAGGGAATTAAGAGTGCACTTACCTTAGGGCAGCTGGCTGGCTCAGTTGGTGGAACATGTGACTCTTGATCTCTGGGTCATGCGTTTGAGCCCCACTTTGGGCATAGAGATTATTTAAAAAAAAAAAAAAAGAGTACACTTATCTTGATGAGCATTAAAAATGTATAGAATTGTTGAATCATTATATCATACACTTGAAACTAAAATAACACTGTATATTAATTATACTTGAATTTAAAAAAAGGAAAAAGAAAAGCAGTCCCTAAGCAAAGGAGTTTGAATAAGTTTTAAGAAATAAAGCAAGGGGAGCCTGGGTTGCTCATTCAGTTAAGCATCCAACTCCCGATTTTGGCTCAGGTCATAATCTTAGGGTGGTGAGATTGAGCCCTGCGTGGGGCTCCACACTCAACAGGGAGTCTGCTTGAGATTCTCTCCCTCTGTCCCTCCCCCTGCTCACTCTCTCTCTCTCTCAAATAAATTGAAGAGACAGAGCAACAGCCTCCCCACCAGATGCCTGAATTGGCTGATAGTGACCTGGAATGAAGGGGCCCAAGGGTTCCTTTAAACCTTGCAAAGCCTCTTATCATTTTCCATAAGGAACCCCCAGTAACAATGGAGGTGGAAAACAAATTTAGAGACTTTTTCATTGATACTGGGGCCACAGATTCAGTACTGAACTCCCGGCTCTCTCTGCTATCAAATCAAACCATGGCTGTAATGGGAGTCTCTGGGGAAGTGTTGACTAAAACGTTCTTACAACCACTAGCCCACCAGAGAAAACAAATTCACCTTAAACACAGCTTTTTGTATATGCCTGAATGTCCCATCCTTTTACAGGGATGTGACCTATTAACTAAATGGAATGCTGAAGCTACTTTTGCACCTGGTTGCATGGATACCAGAGCAAGCTTGTGTCTTTCAAGCAATGCTACTACATCAAGGCGGAGAAGTCCTATCAGAGCCGCCTGAAGAAGTTACCCAAAATAAGATCAGATGTTTGGGTAAATGGGAAGCTAGGATGAGCACAATCGGTGACACTCATGCATGTTAAACTTTGTGGTGGAGGGGTGCCTGGGTAGCTCAGTCCAGATCCAGGGTCCTGGGATAGAGTTCTGGGAATCTGCTTCTCCCACTGCCTGCCACTCCCCCTGCTTGTGCTCTCTCTCTCCCTGACAAATAAATATAAAAATCTTTAAAAACAAAAACAACTTCGTGCTGGGGTAAAGATTATGAATCTTAGACGTTACTCATCAAAGGAACAAGCAAAAAGGGGCATTCAGCTCATTCTCTCTGCCTTCTTGGAATTTGGCCTCATCGGCCCCTGGTAATCCCCTTACAATTCACCTACTTTGCCTCTACAAAAATCAGGCACTCAAGACTTAAGGGCCATTAACCAGATTGTAGAATATATCCACTAGGTGCTTTCCAATCTATATACTCTCTTAACCTTGTCTGGGGCCTTTATTTTTTTTTTAAGATTTTATTTATTCATTTAAGAGAGAGAGAGAGACAAAGAGAGCACAAGCAGGGGGAGTGGCAGAGGGAGAGGCAGAGGGAGAGGGAGAAGCAGACTCCCCGCTGAGCTGGGAACCCAACATGGGGCTCTATCCCAGGACCCCGGGATCATGACCTGAGCCGAAGGCAGAAGCTTAACCAACTGAGCCACCCAGGCGCCCCAAGTCTGGGGCCTTTAGATGGTTCACTGTTCTGGATCTAAAGGACACTTTCTTTTGCATCCTTCTCAGTTCAGATTCCTGTGAACTGTTTGCATTTGAATGGGAAGACCCCTGAGACTAAGAGTAAGCAACAACATTGCTGGAAAATCCTTCCCCAAGGCTTTAAAAACTCCCTCACCATTTTTGGGCAAGTCCTAAGCTAAAGATCTGAGAAACCTCTAATTGGAGATGGGGACTCTCCTCCAATATGTGGATGACATATTAATTGCTAAGTAAAACCAAATAGCCTTCACACTTCAATACTATTTTGACTCCAGACTTTTTGGCTGAGGGAGGTTACAAAGTTTCAAGGAAAAAGGCCCAAATCTCCCAACCCACAATTAAATACTGGGGTTTCGAGCTTTCAATGGGACAAAGAAATCTGCTCCTTGATAGAAGGGAGACTCTAGCCTGAGTGGCAGTCCCCTCCACCTAGGAGACAATCGTGCAGGTTTCTAGGAATGACTGACTGGGTTTTGTTGAATCTGGATACATAACTGTGTTTGGCCTGATAGCTAAGCTCCTTTATGAAGCACAAAAAAGGAGAGATAATGAGCCTCTTGACTGGACTGGAGAATGTCACAAGGCCTTTTGGATTATCAAAGAAAAGTTGTTAACTGTCCCTGTGTTGGGCTTCCTGGATATTAAGAAACCTTTTGATCTATTTGTTCACGAATGACAAGGAATTAGCTTTGGAGTCTTAACCCAAAATCATGGCTATACCAGAAGATCTGTTGCTTATTTCTCAAAGCACTTGGATACTGTTACCAAGGGATGGCCTGTCTGCTTAAGAGCTGTGGCTGCCACCTGTGATCTGGTACCAGAGGCAGAAAATTTTACTTTGGGCCAACCTATCACTGTCTACACTCCCCACACTGTGTGCCTCCCTTACTAGAGCAAAAAGGGGAATATTGATTAATATCTAGAAGATTGGGCAAATGTCAAGTCATTTTACTAAATAACCCCAATATTACTTTGAAGGCTGTCTCCACTTTAAATTCTGCTACTTTGCTACTTGTTAGCTCTGAGGAACCCATTTATGATTGTATTCAAATAGTTGAACAAGCTCATTCCAGCTGTTCGGACCTAACTGATGTGCCATTGTAGGATCCTGACATGGAAATGTTCACTGATGGAAGCAGCTTCATGGACCAAGGACAACAGAAAACTGGATATGCAAAGATTACCAGCCAAGGAACTTTGTAGGTGGGAGCTCTTCCACCAGAGACCTCCACTCAAAAAGCAGAACTCATTGCCCTCACAAGGGCCCTTCATTTAGGTAAAGGAAAAAGGATAACCATACATACTGACTCTAAATACGCTTTCTCAGTGATTCATGCACATGGGGCCATATAGAAAGAAAAGGGATTATTAACTGCAGGAAATAAATCAGACACACCCAAGAAGTTCTAAACTTATTAACTGCAGTAATGAAACCGAAAGGAACTGGCAGGAGTTCATGGCCCAGAACATCAGAAGCCTAATAATTATATAGCTCAAAGAAATAATCAGGCTGATCAGGCCACCAAGGTGACAGCCTATATGAAGACTCCAAAATCCTCTATGATGCCTTTAGTGGTAGACATAGTCTTAACTAAATACCAACCCAAATATTCCTTGACCTAAGAAGAGCTGAGGAATGGGGATTTGGGCACAATGCTGTCATGAAAATCAACTGGAAATATAATGAATAAGGAATATTCCTTATTCCAGAACATCTTATGGAAGAAATAGTCATATTCACCAAAGCACTATTATGAGCGAGATGCTACTCTTCAGTGGGTCCAAACGTATATTGTGGGCCCCAAACTCCAGAGAATTATCGAAAAGATTGTCCAGAAATGTGACATTTGTGCTAAGAACAATCCTAGGACTGGGTCCCCACCAGTTCTAAAAGGTATAAGACTTGGGGGTGCCAGTCAGTAGAGCATCCAACACCTGATCTTGGGGTTGTGAGTTTAAGCCCCATGTTGGGTGCAGACATTACTTTAAACACACACATTCATACATACATACATACATATATACACACATATATAATACATACAAACAAACAACTTAGAAGCACCAAACCTGGAGAGGATCAGCAGATAGTCTTCACCACGACATGGAGAGTAACAGATAATTTTTAATATTTTATATTTTTATAGACCTTTACAAGTTAGGTTGAGGCCTTCCCATGCTGTTCAGAGAAGGCTTCAGAAGTTGTCCAAACATTTTTTTAAAAACTTTATTTAAGTAATCTCTACACCCAACATTGGTTTTGAACTCACGACCCTGAGATCAAGAGTCATATGTTCTACCGATTAAGCCAGCCAGGGGCCCCCTGTCAAGACACTTTTAGGCAAAATCATTCATAGGTTTGGATTGCCACTAACAATTCAGAGTGACAATGGAGTGGCATTTATGGCAAAAGTCACACAAGCAGTGTCCGATGCCTGGGGCTTTCAATGGAAATTATGCATTTCCTGGAGACCTCAATCAACTGGAAAAACAAGAAAAATGAACCACCCACTTTAAAAGACTTTAGCAATGATCTGCCAAGAGACCAGCTTAACTTGGCAAGAAACTTTGTTGGTTGCCCTACTTCGGTTAAGAGTGGCCCCTAGAAATGGTCTTGGTTTAAGCCCCTATGGAATGTTATATGGAAGACCCTTTCTATACTCTTTTTATGGCTTAGGAATTCCTGATGGAGCTCACAGTAAAGAATTGGATACTATTAGGTATGTTCAAGCTTTGGGAAATATTCTAACTGCTATATAGAAGTTTGCTTCTGTCAGGTTGAGGTACCTCACAGATGTGCCCTTATACCACCCAAATCCTGGAGACTTGGTGTTGTTAAAAACCTGGAAGAGCAAGCACCTGCAGGATCAACATCCTCATTGGACAGGACCCTATGATGTGCTGTTGACCACCCTTCAGTGAAACTGAAGGGTATTCAACTGTAGATTCACCACACTCCAATTAAGCTGGTTCCACAAGAATCCACAGATCCCCTATACCCTGTTGGCAAGGAGAACATAGAGAAGAACGCTACTCGGACCATCAAGTCTCTGATGGACCGGAA